GGGAGTCTTCAACTTACAACTGTTCATTTAGCAACTGTTCAAACAGCTCTGAAAAAAAAGTGACTTATGACCAGTCTTCACACTTACAGCCATTACAGCCTCCTCAGGATCATGTGATCAAAATGAAGGTGCTTGGCAACCAACCTGTATTGACAATGGGGGCACCCTGGGGTTATGTGATTGCCAGTTGCTCCCTTCCCTTGTGGTGACATAGTTCAAAAGCACACCAAAGGTAAAATAAATACTTCAATTTTAATTCTAAAACAGAACTGCTTTCGCCCAGAGTGAAAGCAAAAAGTAATATCTAACAATAGTCACAATAATAACAAAGTTGGAAGGGACCTTGGAGGTCTTCTAGTCCAACCCCCTGCTTAGGCAAGAAACCCTCCACCACTTCAGACAAATGGTTATCCAACATCTTCTTAAAAACTTCCAGTGTTGGAGCGTTTACAACTTCTGCAGGCAAGTTGTTCCACTGATTCATTGTTCTGTCAGCAGATTTCTCCTTAATTCCAGTTTGGATCTCTCTTCCATTGCTTCTTGACCTATCTTCAGGTGCTTTGGAGAATAGATTGACACCCCCCCACCTTCTATGACTGCCCCTCAAATATTGGAAGACCGCTATCATGTCACCCCTTAGTCCTTCCCTTCCTTAAACTGGACATACCCAGTTCCTGCATCTGTTCATCTAAAGTCTTGGAGGCCATAAATGTTCCCCTTCTTTGTTCTACAACTTGCTGCTTACTTGGATAGCAGCATAAGAACATGATACATTACAAATGGCTGGGATTTTTTTTGGGGGGGGTGGTGCTTTCTACTCTGCCTGAGCCTCTGTGCGGTTTATAGGCTGTTAGAACTGGTGTGTGTTTGAACCATCCTTGCAAATTACCAAATGCACCGCTTTTGTGTTCTGCCGCCGTCCCCTTCCCTTCCCTTCCCCCAACCCCCCTTCCCCACACACTTCCCCCAACCCCCAGCCCCACATTCTTCATTGCTTACAACAGAAGGATGCACTTTGCTTGACCTTTGAAGCCTCTGACCACTGGGAATTCAAAAGAGTGGAGACACCAAGAGGTACCATTGTCCGGCCAAATGAGCTTCTCCGAGGGGCAAAGCAGCTAGATTCCACAATCAAATCCCTGTTTGCTGGACCATTTCCATGAAAAAAGCAGGCCAGATAAATGGAAGATTCTCCAAGGTTCTTAAAGATGCAAAATGTCTCTCTCTAAATCCAGGGTAAACAAAAGAAGGAAGGGAAGGCTGACTAACTGAGTTGTGACCCTCCACCACACTCAGTTACAAGACACAGGGGAAAAAAAGTCCCGCATTGTTTGGGGAGGGGTACTTTCTCAGATCTACAAGCAGGAAAGGCCAAAAATTCCTTGCTGAAATAATCTTCTGCTCCTGGAGACAACCCTCAACTTCTTCGCAACCCTCATCCACTCAAGCTCAGGAGAACTTGCTTAGAATGGTCTTCAGCAGGGCTTGTAAAGTTGGTAGATGCCTTCAAATTGAAGGGATCCCATTGAATTCAAAATACTTGGTCTACTTTTAACATAGTTTAATGAGCTCATCTACCCACTACTGTTTGTAAACATAGTTTGCTAGCTTAGCACGTTGTCCCAAGTGGCCAAGTTTGAATCATGGAACACAAGAACAGTCTTTATCTGGTGCACTGGTTCCTGGTAGCCTTCTTAAATCCCATCCAGGGCAAACACTTATGTTTTACTATTTATAAGGATTTCTGAAGAAAATATTGCCTATTAATTTGTGGAGAACCAGTTAACTTAAGTCCAAGGAAGAGCAGCACGTGGCATGTTTGCAGGGCGAATCAAAGCACAATTTCCCCATGTTGGGAAAAAAATTGTGAAAACAGAAGTATGCTTAATGGTGTAAAAGTGTAAAAGTGACATCTTGGCTACAACATGGAACTCTGTTGCAAAGATAGGGAGAACAAAATATACAATAATAACAATTCAACCACGGCAAACATCTGAGTTATAATAAACACACACAGCCACAGAAAAAGTGACTCCAACTTTTGAACGTACCCATTTTACACAAAATACAGAATATTGATTTTTTTTGAAAGTGAAAAGGTTGTTAAATCGATTAGAAATGGGCTTATTTTCCAACAAAATTGCAGACAGCAAGTTTCATAAATTAACATGCAACATAAACGTATTAGTTACATCACATCTCTAAATATCACATCCACATGAATTGCAAGAGAACTCTCCCCAAATTGCACTGATATTCTAAACAAGTTAAAGTAGCCTTTGATGGTATCAAAATATTTAATAACTTAATTTTTGTCTGCTCATGGCAATGTCTGCATACTCATTTGAGGGTGAATCAGAAAAATAACAAGAGCAGGAAAAGGACACTAAAAATCTGTGTGGGAGTTGATTTTTTTAGAATGGTCCCATTTTAGACTGCTCAGAAATTAAAAATAAAAGCTGAGCAGAAATGTATTAGGGTGATCTTTGTTTTAGGTAAGACTATCCACTCTTCAGTTTTACCACCCTTCAAAGTCACTTCCCCCCCCCCCTCCAACTTGGTCTTTCAAGGAAGAAGTGAGATTCAAATAAAGTTGCAAAAATTATCATTGTTCTCCATTTTTTCCAGAGAAAGGGTCTGTCTTTATAACTTTTACAGAAATAAAATCTTTGTGCTTTTCTGGTGTAGAACAGAGGATTTTAATATAAAGCATTTAATTTTCTTGGTGAACTTTCTAAGTTATTTGACGAGAGATGAGAGGCTAGGTTTTACATTCTTTATAAGGATTAGTAAAGAATAGAGAGAGAGGGATCTGTAGCTGTATATTCTAAATGACTAAATTGTTCCATCAATTAAGCTACTGAGGTTATCGATCCTTTATTTTCAAAGGTTTTCTTTTCTGGCCAAGTAGTTCTTAAGACACTTTACACACTAACTATAGGAAATATATATTCCCAATGATCTTTATCTGATCCTTGTAAATGGAGAAGGATTAGGGCACTTCAATTTTGGGATTTAAAAGTTCTCAAAATTCTGGCATCTGGGATTGTATTAATTTTTTCTCTTCTAATTGATGAGTGAACTCAGATTTGGGTAAATGTATCTCCAAGAGTTCTTTAAGGACTGGAGGAATCTAACTTGGAAAAGAGAAACACAAAAGAGCATTTTTGTTCCTGCAGATGTATGGATGAAGGAGCAAAATGACATTTCTACCTTGTTCTTTCTCTCTTTAACCCAGAGCCTTTGTTGAAGGAATCTTGAATTTGGGGCTTAAATTGGCCCCTTCTTTTGTCAAATATTCCCAGTGAAAACCCAATCAGGATGCAGTTGCCCAAAACTCTTTGTTCTCACCTAAACTGACTTTAGAGGGTAAAAAGAGAAATTAAACAGTGGAGAGTAACAGCTAAACAAAAAGTATTTACATAAATGACATAATTATTTACTGATTTCCTTGGGAATCAGATTTCCCTCTTCACTTAAAAAAATATATCAATAGCTAGAATGAAGAAATGTATTATTTTAGGAAGATCTCCCTTCTTTTTAATTTCATTTCCTCGTTTTAAGCAAGTTTTCCTTGTCACTTTATTTCAAAATCAGATGGAAGCTGCTGCTCCCTCAGGAATATCGTATTGAGCAACGTAGACTTTAAAAATAGACTGATTTCAGATTATTAGGATTATTTGAAAGGAGTCCAACTGCAACTTTCCAAACAGAAAATATGCAGTTTTCAGAACTCCCGAGTCGGGGTTACCTACCTCACAATTCTTGTTGACAAAGAGATTGTGAGATACTTTTCACTTTTACTTTCTAATACTTACCGGCACCATGTATACATATACATATAAACCATTCTTTAAGCTGCTATCTATGGGCTATGCTGCTTTCGTCCCGCGTCTCTCAGACAATGACTACTAAAAGAAAGCAGAAACCTCTCTGTGCCCACGTTGTAGGTCTTCTATGCGCCGCTCACAGGAACATTTCCTTAGCAGCGGAACTCACAGGTTTATTTATTTTTTATTTTTGTCCTTTTAATTTTAAAGATCGCTGGTGCCAATTCCCCCGGCAAAAGGCAGCGCTTTCCTTGCAGGATTTCCCTGTTGCAAAGCTCTCTTCCCAAGGCAGAAAAGCAGCTTTTCCCTCGGTGGGAAGCTCGGAGGGGTGGTCTGGGCAGGGGGAGGGGAGGTGACGGGGTTAGCAGCGCTTAGCTTTTAGCCCCAGCCTGACCACAAGGCTGATTTTAAAGTTGGGGGGGGGGGTTTTGCAGGAAGAGGTCACATGCCTTTTGCAGGACCGCGGCTCTGCGGAGGAGAGGCCGAGGGTCTCTTTTGTTCTGCCTTTTGGGGAGAGGCCATGGGGGGGGGGGTGTCGGAGAGAATAACATGGGCTTTCCAAGGGGGGGGGGTTCGAATCAATGCTTCGACCGGGAGGGTTGCAAAATAAAGGAGGGGAAGTGGAGCGGCCCGTTTCTTCTTGCAAACGGTGGGTTTTTACGCAAAGCGAGTTTGCGCGCTTTGCGAAGGATTCCTGGAGAGCTCATCCCCTTACGGGACCCCGCACAATTGCTCCATGGGGGAGAGGCAGGATCGCTTCGCTTTCCTCCCAGGAACTTTGGATAGGAAGCGCTTTTCGCTCAGATGGAGAGGAAGAGATGGCCAGCAGCGCAAGTCAGGGGCGGGATCCCGGGGAGCCGTGGGCGCCTTTCCTGAGCTTGCTTGCTTAGGATCGGGGCCCGACCTGCGGGAAATTCGGAGTGACTTCGGCTTCCCCCACCCAGGGGGGCTCGAGTCCTCCCCTTCATCCCGAGGCCAGCCCGGTCCCCTCCAGGCATTTAAAGCGCTGCCCGCCCGACCCAGAAGGCGCAGCCGGAGGGGGCTGATCCCGTCCTGCCATTGGCTGAGCCGGGCGGGGCCGCGGCGGCAGGACACAATTAATTATGCTAATGAGCGGGGAGCGGATGTGCGCCCTCCCCCTCCTTTTCTGGGGGCTGGTTGGCGAAAGGGGGACGCCCCGCGCGGTCACATGACCGGCTCTTCGCGCCACTTTCGTAAATCTGCCTTTTCTCCCCCCAATCCCAGCCTTTCGCTCCGGAGCTCCAAGGTAACGTCCTGCCTTCGCGCGCTTCTGCCCCGCCGCTGCTCCCTCCGGCCCTCGGCCGACGGGGCGGCGCTGCACCCGGGAGGGCCCGCCGGGGAGCACAAAGCACCTGTAGGAGTGCGGCCACGCGGGGCGGCCCCGCCTGCGCCTCGCCCCGTTGCAGCCTCCCCGCGTGGCTGCCCCCCCCCCCGAGGGTCCGCGGCCGCGCGGGGCGATTCAGGCGCGGTCGGTCGGACGGCGGAGCCCCCCGCGACCCCTTTTGGGCTGGGGGCTCCCGGGCACCCGCCGCCCGTCCTTAACAAAAGTTTTTGCAGTGCGCTTAGTGCACGCCGGGCGCGGGGGGGGGGCGCCCCTTGCGCCTCTTTTGCGCGGAGGGGCGGGGGGCTTTGCTGGCGGGGAGGGAGGGGAAGGGGGCGCGTGCACGAGGCGGGGGCGGCGCGGGGCCCGGGCCACGTCTCCATTGTTGCGCCCTGCACATGGCGGGGCGGGGCGGGGGCGGCGTGCCTCGGCCCGTCTTCGCTTGCCCGGCTAAGGGGGAGGGGGGGCCGCGGGAGGGGCAGTGCGCATGAGCGCGCCCGCGAGGCACGCCGGGGCTGGTAGTTCCCACGCGGGCACCACGCGCAGGAGGAAGAGGCACCGCCGCCCCGGGACCCCTCGGCCGCCGCTGACCCAGCCGAGCCCTGCGCCCCGAAGCCCCGGGACGCCTCGACGCCGCCGCTGCGCCCGGGAGCTCCCTCCAAAGCGCCTTGGCAAACTTTTGCGGGGCGCCGCCGGGCTGGGGTCCCTCGTGGCGGCGGGACAAAGGGCCCCTCGGAGGTGGGCGGGGGGGGCTCCGCGGACCAAGCCGCCTCCGCTACGCCGTGCGCACTCCCCCTGGGGGGCGGGGCAAGAGGCGGGGGGGGGGGGGGTTGGGAGCGCTCCCCCTCGGCGGGGGCGAAAGTTGCAGCTTCCTCGCGGCGCCCGCGGTCGCCCTCTTGCAAAGCTTGGGGCGTGCGGGGCGGCTTTTGCATGGGGCCGCGTCCCTTCTCCGTCCTGCCCGGCTGCCTCTTCCTTTTGCAGCCCCGCTTTGAACTTTTTCGGGCTGTTTCAGACCTTGGCAAAAGTTGCTGGTTTCCCCCCCCCCCTCCAGACGGGAGAGCGCGCAAAGTCGCCTTTTTCACTTTCAGTCTTTGCAGTTAGGATCCTTTTTGCCCGAAGGGGTTGATGGGGGTGTGTGGAGATTCCTTCTGGGGAGGGCCAGGAAGCTGGTCTGGTGAATTTGGACCCCTTCTGAAAAAGGAACATTTCCACACGTGCCTTGGGGAAGAGCAGATTGAAGGTGCTCTAAGCCTGTTGAAAAACAAGAGTTGGGGGGGGGGGGGACTCGGTGCTTAGGGTTTAGAGGAGGTATTTTGGATCCCAGATCTAACTTAAATCTTTCATAGTATCTTCGTTTCCACCCACAGAGATGTCCATGTTCTTGAGTAGTTAGATGAATATCCAGCCTTTTCTCCAGAAGACCCAAGAGAAGTACGTAGCTTGGCCTCCTCCACTTCTCCTCCACCACAAGAACCTGATGAGGTAGGTTGGCTGAGGTAGGAGACGCACCCCTAAGTTTCAATGGGTGAAGGTAGACCGCAAAGATGGGACCCACCTCCTGGTCTTATCCTGATCAGTTAGGTTGGCCCATGTTTATACAGAAGAAGTGAAGGATCTCATGAGGTTCTCCTTCCAAGAGGACCTCTTTGAACTTCTCTCCCTCTCGGCACAATTGGTCCTTTCCCCGGTAGAACCTCAAACCCAGCTCCAGCATAATCTTTTAAAAAGGCAATTTTGCCGCCTCCATTTTGAATTCATAGGGCACAGGAGTATCAGAGGATGAGCTGGTGGTGGCCCGCTTTCATGATTAATGTTAAATTTGTCATGCTTTTCCAAGAATGGGAGTCTTATCAACATATTGCTAATATCAGTCTTATATCAGTCATATCATGCATCATATACTCCTTGTTGATATCTGGATCCTCTCACATTTCCCCCCAAATAAAATAGACCAACCTACTTGTGCAACTTAATGGTTAATTGATGACCATCCTAGTTGAAGTCTACCTTCTTAAAGGTTCTTGATTCCCTTGATCTTCTTGAAGGGGTCAGTTTTGAAACGCTGCCTATAATGGGAATTGGTGCATATCAGTTTATAGAGGACTTTGTGAATTACAGCAATTAGCAACTAGAAACTCCAGGATCCCGTGGTTTCTCTTGTGGAGAAACATTTTCAACCTCTTTGTGGTCTGTAACACCATTGACATTGCAACTGGATTGAGCCCTCTGGAAGCTGAGTTAGGAATGAGTGAGGAACCTCAATAAAAACCGGTTGAGTTCAATGAGCTATCAGTCATAACAATAATTGAGATGATCAGGATGAGTTCTGCCATGTTTTGTCATCATTGTGTTCATTAATGTATTGCATTTCTCTTTGTTCCTGTCCCTTTTTTTGTCCAACAGCTACTTTTGACAGGACACAGCAGCTCTCCTCAGAGGAAACCCTCCCGAGCAGTGGCCCTTCGTTGGCCAAAGGAAGATGGCCAAGAGCTTCTGGACTGTGAGGCAAGCCATTGGTGGCACAAAAGTGCTTATAGTGCAGGTAGTCAATGATCTCTACTGCAGTGTTAGCACTTCAGTGACACAATGGTGCGGTGCGCAGGATGGGTTTTCCTGGTAGAGCTCCAGCAGGCCATGGTTGGGCTCAGTCATGTTCTCCATCCCAACCTGGAGGCCCAAAAGTTTCTTGTGCTAAGGTGCATCTAGTGCAGTTAGTGGACTAGCTTACAATCTACTGCCCTGAGTGCTCCTTCTGGCACATGGAACTGGCACCTGGTCAGGCTTAATAGGGCATTGCCCTCAGCAGGTAAAGAGAACATCTGACCCCTAAGCTTCCATGGGTGAAGGTAGACATGAAGATGGGTTCCACCTCTGGTCTTAACCCTGATCAGTTAGGTTGGTCCATGTTGTACAGAAGAAGTGAAGGATCCCATGATGATCTCCTTCCAAGAGGACCTCCCGGCTCCATGTTCTTTTGAAAAAGCATTGTGCCTTTCAGGAAATGGGCAGTAGGGGTGGCTGGAAGGAAGTTACGGTGTCCCTTACTTCAGATTGGATTCCTGGTCCAGTTAAATCGGACCATGTCCAACTCTGCAACCTTTTCTCCCAAAGTCTTGGGTTAGATCCTCCCAACTCCTACAAAGCTCCTTCAGTTTAAGCAGGGGTGTCCAACCTGAGCCCCTTATGGACTTCAATTCCCAGAATTCCCCAGGCAATGTGGCTGGTTGGGGAATTCTGGGGGTTGAAATCAACAAGTCTTAACGCGGGCCAGATTGGGCACCCCTGCTTTTAAAAAAAGACGCCTCCATTCAGATGGGTTTGCACCAGAGCAACCAACTTGTTGCATTGAGTGCTTTGGAGGTAGGGGATATTGCATGATGCTCTCCCTTCATGGCAGCTGTTTGTACCTGTGCTGTTGAGAACATGGGGATGTTCTAGATTAACCAAAGGGTTCAACATGGAAGAAGGGTGGTTTCACACCAGCTCTCCATTTTATTGATAGACGTTGATCTGCTGCCAATCAAGCTATAATTGATTAGCCATATTCATATGCCCTGCGTAAACACGTTGGCTGGGGAGTTGAAGTCCATATGTCTTAAAACATGCTACCTGGAGAGTTTTAGGAGTTGAAGTCCATGCAGGTGACATGTTTGAAAAAAAACACACTACTTTATACCATGGGAGTAGTTCAGCACACAATTCCTTGGATTTGCTTTAACTTAAATAATCTATTTTCATTCAGTGGTGGAAATACGGCAAAAAGGAGTCGGAATGAACTGTTTGGCAGAATTCACTCTCTGCAGGTAATAGCTGCAAAGCCCACCCATGGGAAAATGTTGATGGAGTCCTTTAAACATTCTGGGAAAAAAATGTCTGTAAAATTTCAGGGAATTGGCCGAGACGGAGAGGGAGAGAAGGGAGGCTGCTAGTTCAGAGGGCATTTAAAACTGGGCTTGGTCAACCTGTTCTCTCTGGAGGTTTTGGACTGAAATTCCCATGCTCTCTTTCGAGGATTGGACTGGATTTTGATCAGAAATTGCTTGGAACCTCCTCGTTTGGAGAGTTGGGAACATGGTCTCGATGCTGTTTCCCAGACAAAAGCCCATTTTTTACATCCAAGCTTCCAGATGTAGCTCAGTTAGACACCTCCTCATTTACTGAAGTATAAGAAGGAGGAAGGGGGTAGTGTAGAATCAAACTTGCAAAATTCTGTTCATTAGAGCTCCTGTCAATCAAAGTAGTTTCGGCCTTCCTAGGAAGTTGACTTGCTGCTCTGGTCTACCTGGTGAGGCTGGCATCTTGGACCCACCTTGCTAGACTCAAACTTCTGGCCAAGTCCTGCTTCCTCAAAACAAATTGGTGCCCACTCATCCTTAGCTCATCCCGGCTTCTGGATTGTTAGTATTCAAAGCTAGCAAACTGTTCTTGGAGAACCTCTACTCAAAGGGGTTCGGAGATGCTCTCCTGGCCCAACCGTCTTGTCCGCAAGGGTGGTTTTTTTTTTAATTTGATTTATATGCCACCGTTCTCCGGGGACTCAGGGCGGCTTACAATGCATTAAGCAATAGCCTTCATACTTTTGTATATTTTATACAAAGTCAGTTTATTGCCCCCACAAACTGGGTCCTCATTTCACCTACCTTTGAAAGGATGGAAGGCTGAGTCAACCTTGAGCCTGGCGAGATTCGAACTTACAGTAATTGCACACCCAGTCCATCCTGGCAGGGCCAAAGTGCTCATAGTGCAGGTAGTTGTGGAGCCAAATTCTACTGTAATGTGGGCACTTCCAGTCCTGCCGGATCCTGAGCTCCGTGGCATCCTCTGCTTCCGGAGGGGCGGTGGCCGAGAAGAGACTCCCGTGCTGGCCTACGGTGGGTTTTGCTGGTTTGCATCTCAGCTTGACCTCTGTTGCTGTGCAAATCCATGCAAAACTGACGGTGGGGCAGGTTGTGAGGAGGAGGTCCTGGAGAGAGAGAGAGAGAATGCGTCCTTGCGGAGGCCGAAGGAAAGGCTCTTCCTCCCTGGGTTGGGATCAGTTGTATTACTCGGACGTCTCTGAATAGTATTGCACTTGTCCCGGCCTGTGGAGGGCGAGGGGAGGATCGACCCTGCAGGAGGAGGCAGCTGGCACCAGCCGAGGGAGGGCGAGCGAGCTGGTTGCCCTGGCAGGAAGCTGTGTGTTGCTGTTGTCGGGTGGATCACGATGCAATTTTGATTAGATTAGCAGGAAGGAAATTGCACGGTATCCATCTGTAAACCGCAGGACCTTCCTGGCTCTGGCGAGTCCTGGGGGGTTGGAGGGGGGGCAGGATTGGGTGAGGGAAGCAGAAGAGGCTGGCATAAGGAAAAATCTGGGCCCTTGAGGGGTGGGGTTCTCTTTGCAAAATAAAATAAATGGATTTGGATACCTGAAAAGCTGTTTCCTTGCAAACTTCTTGAGCTGGAATGGTGTGAATGAATAAAGGTGGTTTTGTTCCCTGCTCGGATTGTTTTTCTCCTTCCATTCAGAGAGTTTGGCCGAGGAATCTCCCAAAGGAAAACAGAAAGCTTATACAGGTAATACCGTTGCTCGCTTACTGACCATTCAGATTCAAAATTCTGGCTACCACCTGTGGCCACGTGGCAACGTTTTGGGTGCTTGGCAGCTGGCCTGCCTTTACAGCCATTGGGGTCCTGCAGCCATAAATGCAGTGTATGACTTCTTCCCCAGAAACTGGCGCTTGCTTCTGATTTCCAGCAAAAATTGTCCCATAACAAATGATGGATTTGCTTTAATGACTGCTGCAAATCTGCCCCCCTCCCCAATGCAAAATTGTGTGCAGTCACGTGTTGACTTGCTCAGTGACCATCTATCATAATTAGAGGTTCAATTGCTGTCGTAAGTTGGGGACTACCTGCAGTCAACCAAATACATCAGCAAATAATCAACCTGGTAAACAGTTGGGAAAATTGCTCATCCCCTCACAGGACATTAGAAACGAGGAGGAGGCTCCATTTTGTGATTCAGAGGTGCCAGTTGGCTAAAGGCTGCTTCACACTAGGTGTGGGGCAGGGAGCTTCTGACACTAGAGATAATTTGCAACTGAAAAGGAACGAACACAACTTTTAAGGGGAACCGTCAAATTAAATCTAGGACTGAAAGCCAGAAGATGCTTCCAGCTAATTGGACTCTGAAGTCTTCATTGGAGCCTGGATGGAAAGATGGGGTGGCTTTGAGTTCAAGAGCTGGAGGCTGCGGTGTCCCCAGACCTGTGAAGCAGCTGCAGAGTTTCGTAGCTCAGAAGACGTGAGCTGTGCTTGCTTCTGAATTGTACAAACCAGCTCTCATCCTTTCCGCTTTCAATAAACCAGCTTGGCTTGCATCTTGAAAGACCAGGCCGGGCCCTGCTGATAGAATTATGGAAGGTGAAGTTCAATCAATGAATTAAAAGCTCATTGAAATGGGTGGCACTTTGGCACGCCTAGGAGTCGCCATAGGGCCATATCCTTGCTAATGCTGTTTTTGCAACTCTTCGTCCCATATTCTGGGATGCAAAAAGGAGTTTTTGATCTGATTCAGGTTTGGGTTTCATAAATGAAGTAGCTGCCGTTTTTTTGTTGCCCCTTAAGTGTGTGGGGATGAGCTGGAAGTGAGACCCACTGAAAAATAGGGTATTTTGAGTATGAATGATGTTTAAGGGAGCACCTGAGTGCTTAGCGCAAACATTAACTATAACTAATGCAATTTGGACAGCTCCATAAAGTGATAGACTTAGAATAACTTTATTCTCACTGAGTGTATGCTAATCGGCATACATTAAAATGAAATTTCGTTGCATACAGCTCAATGGGTCTCCACCTCCAATATACATGGCATAAACATGACATGGAGTAACTAGTTCATCTTACATTCTGTACTTTATTAATGCAATTACAATGGTACTTTGGTACTCATTGTTAAATTGGTTCCATGAGGCACGATGAGTACCAAACATTTTTCGTATGAGGAATAATGCAGTGAGTCACAAGGCAATCGGCACAAATTCTAACTTGTGTGTTGACTACCAGACAATATTGGGACAAAATTTTTGCATCAAAAGTGTTGAGTAGCAACTTTGATGAGTTTCGAAGCACTTGAGAATCAAGATCCCACTTTAGTTTGGATGTAAGCAAACAGATTAACCAGATCATTTTACGGGATATATTTTATATGATAACTAACCTGCCCTCCAGTCAGGCTATCCTGGGCTAAAACGGGTGTCGGCGTGTTGTGTGAATTCGGCCACGGAGTCCCCAGCCAGCCTCTTCCAGCCTAGCAGGTGTGAACCAGCCAATTAATCAACCAATGACATTTTGGAGGCCTTTCTGGGAGTCAGCTGAGTTAACATAAAAATCTGTTCTCCTGACCATAATAATGAATCTCTGTTCCTGTAACAGATGTTTTGACGTTTCACTTGGGGATCCAGAAAGAAATGTCACATTATTTCGGTTTCGGTTGCAACATTTACATTTCCAAATATATTTCATCTGCAAATGCAGTTTTTTCCCCTCTTCTTTTTAGTCTGCCCGACTGGCCAGAGAGGAGAGGGATTCAGTCCGAAAGGAGAAGGGCGGTATAGAAATTTGAATAAAGTAAAGTAAAGTCCGGTCTTTGTCTTCAGCTAATTATAATTCAGTGTGGCTAAACTAGCTAGCCTTATTTTAGCTCCTGTGTTGTGCAAACCCGTTTGTGTGCTGCTTAGGCTGTGAAAATGGGGTTAAACTGAACAAAGCAGTGCTCTGTTAACTATGGCTAACCGTGTGGGAACCCAGTACTGAGGGTCCATTCAAGAATTGACAGAAGTAACCGAACTATTCATTTCACATAGTTCACTTCCACGATAAGAGCTGTGATGCGCGAACTCAACTCGTGCCTTCTTTGCAGAGATACCTTCTGCAGATCAGTCATGTGCCAAAGCAGCAAGGATGCAGACAAGGGTTTAGCAACTTATGAAGAAACAAACCATGGTTTGTGATTTTCAAGACACTGAGCGGACTGAACATTTCATTCTCTCTAGCATCGGCCGACCCCCAAACCTCGACTGAAGGACAAAATGCTCTTCCTGCAGGTGGAGAGAGTTTGGATGCCCGTTCACATCTTCGGCCGGTGCCTCTGCGCTTCTGCTGTGCCACTCCTGGGACCCAGTTGGCCTTCTCCCCTCCAGCCGGGTTGGGCACAGGTGAGGGGGCTGACTTTTTTTACCTGTGATTACCAGAAGTACAAGCTAGGATCATCCTGGTGGAAAAGAGATCTCTTGAGTGATTTTTTTTTTCTAGTGAGATCGGTCTATCAGGGCAAGTAGCCCGGGTTCGAATCTTAGAAGGGTATGGCTAACTAGCTGATGAGAGCTAAATAGTTCGAAACAGATCTATCCTAGTTTCCCCTTCAACACATCTGTGTCTGCAAAGTATTCTCTGAAAGGGCTCACTTGGAAAGTACTTAAAATTGTAGTAAAGGAAAGGAAGGAGGGAGGGAGGGAAGGAAGGTAGCCTCTAGATCAGAGGTCAGCAACCTGCGGCTCCGGAGCCGCATGTGGCTCTTTGGTCCCTCTGCTGTGGCTCCCTGTCAGGTGATCCCACCATTGGGTGGCCCCGCCTCTCGCCCTCCCCTCCCAGTCACTCCTCACCTGGCTTGAGAAGGTAAGGGCGACAGCGGGGGATGGAGAAGCGGCCAGGGCAGAGACAGAGAGATACAGAGATGGGGGGAGAGAGAGAGAGAGACATAGAGAGATACAGAGAGAGAAGGAGAGAGGGAGGGAGTGGGGAGAGAGATGTCAAAAGGATCATATGGTTCCCAGTGTTTGTTAACAACTGGTTCTCTGCCCTAATGACTGGCTGGGTAGGCGTGGCTAGGGGGAGTCATGTAGTAGAAGTGGTGGTAGAAGTGAGTGACATCAAGTTGGCCACGCCCACCCAGGTTTTGTGGCTCCCGGTGTTTTGTTTTCTGTGGGAAACGGGTCCAAATGGCTCTTTTGAGTATTTAAGGTTGCAGACCCCTGATCTAGATAGATAAATAGGTGGATAGGAAGGAAGGAAGGAAGGAAGGAAAAAGATGGGATGGAGGGTGGGAGGAAGGAAGGAAAGGAAAGGGAAATAAGAATAGAGGATGGGTGGAAGGGAAAATAGAGAGATGGAAATAAGGAAGGAGAGAGGGACAAAGACAGGAAGGAAGGAACATCAAATCAAGATCAAAAGGAACCCTAGATAGCTTAGCACCTGGCCTTTGGCAATGGGCGTTCAGTAATAGTTTTCCCTCCAGAGCAAACTTCTGTTAAAAAACTGCAACAGTTTCTCGGATCCCAGAAGTCCACACCCCTCTTAAAAGGTTGCCATGTTTGAAAAAAAACACTGCCCAGGAGGAAGGCTGGGTGGGTGGGCTCCTGCCCTCCCACCGGCTGCTAGCTCAGCTGCCTTATCTTTGTTTCTGCCAGGAGTCCATTCCGAAGGGTCATTCCTGCTTTAAAAAGCTTCAGATAAACTTCTAACCTTTTGACCATTTTGCCTCCATTTCCCAGGCGTGTGCTTTTTTGGGGGAAGGGGCTGGCGGGGTCTTTCTCTTGAATGCAAAACTTGCGCTGTAGCTTCTAAAGGAGCAGCTCTTTTGGCCCTTCTTTTTTTCTTGAAATATCCCAGGGAGTTGCTTCAAAAGAATCCTCTCCTGGGCTCTCTCTGCTCCAGGGGGTGGAGAAGGCCTGTCTGTCGTAGAGGATGATAACACACTTCCTTTCTTTTTTAACATTTTTATTATCTTCTGCGCAGAAGGTTTCAGCAGGTTCTGACCAGTTCTGGAGAACCGGTAGCGGAAATTTTGAGTAGTTCGGAGAACCGGTAGTAAAAATTCTGACTGGCCCCGCCCCCATCTATTCTCTGCCTCCCGAGTCCCAGCTGATCGGGAGGGAATGGGGATTTTGCAGTAACCTTCCCCTGGAGTGGGGAGGGAATGGGAATTTTACAATATCCTTCCCTTGCCACACCCACCAAGCTACGCCCACCAAGCCACACCCACAAAACTGGTAGTAAAAAAAAATTGAAACCCACCACTGCTTCTGTGGCTGCATTACTAGCTGGCCAGGCCTGATTTAAAGATGAGTGAAGCCTCAACGCACCCTCGAGCAGAATTAAAATACAACCCGAACGGGACACTTTTCAACTTCAATCTTGTTGTGATGTGGGTAGAACATACACTGTCAGGGCAAAGAGATCCTCTGACTCGTCTCCCCGTCTCTGGCCGCTGGAAGAAGCATTTTTAAGTCATTTTAATGTCTCTTTTTCTCAACCGCAGCCACTTGAATGCCACTCAACCTATGGGATTTCAATTCCCAGAATCCTCCAGCCAGTGTGGACTTCAATTCCCAGAATTCTGGGAGTTGGAAGTCCACACATCTTCAAGCCTGCCTCCAACTTCTGCTCTGAAGGTGCTTTTCACCTTTTCCTCGCTCAATCTTTGCACACCTGTTGAAAAGAATGAAGAGGCCTGTGAAGTTAACACTGAATTTGTAGGTGAAAGGAGGAAGAAAAAAAAAAAAAAGGAAATCCAGGGGAATTTGGTGTCACGTCCTAGCTATGGTTTACCAGCTAACCAAAATGGGCTTGGCACAACGCACTAAGCTACAAAACTTGGTTTCCGCCAGAGGCAAAACAACCACTAGGTGGCGGTATTGGCATGAGCCTTCTATTCACCTACTGTATCATATAGTATAATCAACTGACATTGCAATTCAATAGCCTGTGTAAACCCCAATAATCAGCTTTACTTCAGTTAACCACGATTCAGTTAGCCTTGCGAAAGTTGGTGTCAACCAGTGGATGCAGGATTTTTTTGCACACGGATGCAACTGCGTCTTTTGTGGAGTTGCAAAGGGACTCGGGACCTCAAATATCCCGCTTAGGCCAGCAGTCGACCCAAAGTGGACACCTTGTCATTTTGCCTGTGGACACCTGTCAGCTGCCATTCCTGTAGTTCGCGTTCCTGCAAATTCCTTTTAATTGAGCAGCCCTTATTATCATGAAGACGGGCACTTTCCTGGCTTTAAAATGTGAACAACAACAACAACAAAACCCCCAAAATCCAGCTTGTTTCATCTTCATTTCATGCCTGGCTTGAATGCAAACTACCATGCGCTTCCCAGACAGACGGGAAAGCTGAAGAGAGATAGGCGACATTGGGGAAATAGCGCAGAATATGCTAAAATTTGGGGATTTGCAGCTAGAAAGAAAGGGCAGGTTGTTGAGCGGAATGAAGAATAGCGTGGCAACTGCTATCACTCATGGATGAACCGACAGTTCTCTCTTTAGCTGGATTCCCCAGAAGCACAAGACTGCGAGATGCTTCTGAGAAAGTATCGTCTTGCCATCCACGGCGCTGTTTTACAAAGAGATTTAACTCCAGGGCTCCGAGCCATGAGCTACGGCAGGGTGTTAATGCTTATCTGCGGGTGTGAAATCAGTTTATAAGTGAGGCTGCCCGGATCATTTTAAAAAGGCACTCGGAGCCAGGCTTGGAGAAGGCGCAAAGGCCCCCAGGCGCTCGGTGGGAGCCTTGAGAGAGAATCTATCCGTCATCTTAAGCACTTTTGAAGTCTCTCAATTTCTCCCTAGGCCTCCAAATCAGCCTTTTCTCAACCTTGGCGACTTTAAGGCCCACGGACTTCGACTCCCAGAATTCCCCAGCCAACTCTAAGTCCACAGGTCTTAAAGTCGCCAAAGGTTGGGAAATGCTGCTCTGAATTTAGAAAAAGCCTTCAGAATTGGTGAGGGAATTCTGGGAATTGAAGTCCACAGGTTTTAATGTTAGCAAGGTTGGACACCTAGAAACTTAAGGCTTCCCTTAGTTGACTGGGGGATTCTGGGAATTGAAGTACAGAAGCACCAGCTGCCTGCAATTACTGCAAGTTCAAATCTCACCAGGCTCAAGGTTGACTCAGCCTTCCATCCTTCCGAGGTAGGTAAAATGAGGACCCGGATTGTGGGGGCAATAAGCTGACTTTGTATAAAAAAGAACACCGCTTGGGGGGGGCCCGAAAGCCCTACTAAGCAGGTATATACAAAAGTATGAAGGCTATTGCTTAACGCATTGTAAGCTGCTTTGAGTCTCCGGAGAAGGGCGGCATATAAATCGAACCAATAAATAAATAAATAAATTAACCAGTGAAACAGCTTGCCACCAGAAGTTGTGGGTGCTTCACCACTGGAGGTTTTTAAAGAAGAGACTGGACAGTCACTTGTCTGTTTGAGAAGGGGGCTGGACTAGAAGACCTCCAAGGTCCCACCCCCAGCTCTATTCTATTCTAAATTCTAAATCTATTAGGGAGCACCTGGAGACTGCAGGTGAGATGCCTGGGGGGGATGCTTTGGGGGCGGGTGGAGGGGCAGATGGCCGGGACTCTCCTCTTCCTCCTCCTCCGATGCTCTTTTCCTGATTGGGGAGTGACGATTCTCCGCCCAGGCCCCCACCGGATCCCCGAAACTCGGCGGGCCTCCCTTGGCCGACACTGCTGGCAGAGCCGCCTTTCCCAGGGGCAGTCTACCGCAGAGGGAGCGGCGCGGTTAGAGACCCCCCCTCCTCGCTCCGCGGAGCCAATGAAGAGCGAGGAAAGTTTGCGGGGAGCCAGTCAGGGCTGGGAGGGGGGCGGCCCGGGCCAATCCCGGCTCGGCTGCTGTGGCGGCGGGGCCAGTCTTGCTGGCTGCTCCGGCAGCGGCTGCAGCGGCGTCTCCGCTCCGGCTTCCCGCTTGCGCCGCTGGGCTCGGGATGCGCCCGGCCGCCGCCTCCAGCCCGCGATGAGCGACGGCGGAGCCGCTGCAGCCGCTGCCTCCGCCTGGCGCCTCTGCGCCCTCCTGGCCGCCGCCTTGCTGGGTGCCCGGCCCGAGCCCACCTGCCAGCGCGTCCGCTCAGCCTTCCAGGCGCTGCAACCCGGCGCCCGCGGGGTGCTCGACAGCCCCGGGCCAGGTGAGCTCCGGGTGGGGGGGAGGAGGCTGCAGCCCGAGAGCCCCGCTCGCCTGGCCGGAGAAAACGGGGATGCTCTTTTCCTTCCTCTTGCCTGCCTGCCTGCCTTCCTTCCTTCCTTCCTTCCTTGGGACTAGCGCCTTTATTTTGCACTGTCTCCCCTCCTCCCCCTCCATCATGGGAAAGGGCTAGGCAGCCTCACTGGCTAGGAGGAGACGCGGGTTAGTCCGGCGTCCTGTGTCGTGTGAACGCAGCCCAGAAGCTGCCTGCCTTCCTTCCTTCCTTCCTTCCTTCGGACTAGCGCCTTAATGTTTGCAGCGCGGTAAAAGCGGGAGCTCAGGGATGGAGATGCGCCCGGGCTGCCTGTAATGGGGCTGGCCGGTTCTCCCTCCGCTCGCTCGCTTGCTCGCTGGGCGCCTCCGGGGGATGTTGGGCTTGCTGGCGGTTCCTTCTTCCCGTGCCTTCCTCGCGCGCTCGAGCTGGGCAGATGGGATGGAGGGCGATGGAAGAGGGACCCCCTCCCCATCCTCCTCCTCCTCTTCCATGGGAAAGGGCTGGGCAGCCTCTCTGGCTAAAAAGGAGACGCGGGTTTGTCGGGCGTCCCGTGTCGTGTGAACGCAGCCCAGAAGCTGCAGGAGTCCCTCTTGCCTTCCTTCCTTGGGACTAGCGCCTTTATTTTGCACCGTCTCCCCTCCTCCTCCTCTCCTCCATGGGAAAGGGCTGGGCAGCCTCTCTGGCTAAGAAGGAAACGCGGGTTAGTCGGGCGTCCCGGGTCGTCTGAACGCAGCCCAGAAGCTGCAGGAGTCCCTCTGCGGGCACGGCACACGGGGTCGGTCCGGCGGTGCGGGGTCTTTGCAGGATCTAGCAGGCTGGACGTTGGTTTGGTTCTTCCCTACAGCATCTGGGTTTGCAGGTAGATTGCTCTGGAATAGGGAGGCACTCCTGAAGTACCTTGGCATAGAGAGACTCGGGATGGAGTGTTCTTTTATCTCCAGTTTAGGTTCTTGCTCCAATCCTGCAGTGGCCGTTGAGGGCTGGCTAACCAGGGTTAAGGCTGTGCTGGTAGACTCTGCCTAAAACTGGGGTCTCCAACCTCGGTAACTTTTAAGACTTCAATTCCCAGAATTCCCCAGCCAGCCAGCCGAAAATCTCAGTTTTGCCAAGGCTGAACCAGATGCAGGAACTGTGTGGCATCTGCACCAATGTGAATAATTTTTGGGCTGCCGAAGTCTTATTTCTCTTAGGCTCTGCTTATGTACTTGGGAGTTTTCCTTGGGATTTAAAGGTGAAGTGCTAAATTAGATGTACATTTTTATTTAAAAGTTAAACAAAGAGTAAAGCTTGCATAAATCCTCCAGTGTGTGTGTGTGTGTGGGGGGGGGAGGGGAGATTGTCTTCCTGAAAGGGAAAAAAAAAAAGGAGATAAGTCATGAGTTATTCTTGCAAAAAAAAAATTACACTATATATTTTTTTTTTATGGAAAAGTCTGCATGCTGCAGATAATCCAGTTGGGACATATGGATCGGTTTGCCAGACTTGAATGCTCTTTTGAAGTAGGCTTAAGCAGACTCATTTTGAGAATTACAAAGTGTTCAAAGATAACGAAAAACAGCAAAAGATGAGGGAAAATTTAAGATGCCGGGCTGTTGCTGTTACGTAGGGCCTTTGCATCTCCCTACAACTTAACCGTAGCTAAATGCTAACATCTGAATCCCTCCGGCAGCTGTCAGGATAGGTTGGGGTTACAGTTTTCAAGATTGCCAGCCAAGGAGGAGAATGATAGCCTATCATATCCTGGGTGGGGGTACCAATTTGGAGAGCCTCGGTTTGGAGAAAGAGGTTGAAACCTGTCTCGCTGTTTGAGAAAGTAGCATAACATTCTAAGAGACTCTTCCCATCCTGCTTACAATCCTTTTGGACTGTTGCCTTCTGGCAGAAGATACAGAACAATTAAAACTCGGACCACACGTTTTCTGAATCGTTTTTATCCCAGAGCTATAATTGCACTCAACCATGAACTAAAGGGCCACCATCATTGAGCTGTTGGGCAGCATTACTTGGTCTGTTGTGTGGATGTTCGGGTGGTTTAGGGGCGGGGAATTTGTGGTGGGTGGGGGTGTGTTTGGGGATTGTTATGTGTGTTGGACCTGGTCTTTGGGTGTTAAGTGAATTTCGTTGTATGGATATACTGTGTATACACGTACAATGACAATAAAGTTGTTATTATTATTATTATTATTATTATTATTATTAAGGGGTGTTTGCAAAGCAAGGATGTGATTTTGCATCTTATCTGGACAATATGTACCAAGAAAGAAATTCAGCCTGAAAGTCGGAAGGATAGGTGATTTTATTTTTCTGTTTACGGGGTGGGGTTGATGGCAGATTTCTAATGGGAAGGTGAGTATCTCTATCGAAACACAACTCTCTGGTCTTTCCATGAAAGCTGATCTGGAGAGGTAAGAATTCAAGAAGAGGACAATCCCTAGAAGATAAAGCCAGCATCTCAAATCGGCCTCTCTCTCAACCTCTTGGCAACTTGAAGAGTTGAGTGAACTTCAACTCCCAGAATTTCCCCAGCCAGCTGTGCTGCCAAGGTTGAGAAAGACTGATTTAAATGCTCAAAAACTCCCAGATCAGCTTGCCAGGAGTGATGGTGGCATTGTTGCTCTCCAGATGTTGCTTAGCTAAACATCCCCTGTTAGGCAGTCGCCCGAGGACTCTGCAACCTCTGCAGAGCCACAGTTCCCTGATGGAGATTAGAGCCAAAATCTTCCCTCCATCCCCAAAGCAAATGTCAACATTAACAAAGAAATTTCCGAACCAATGAGGTTCCATTAACCGTCTGGCTGTGAATTTTTGAACTGGGACATTTCCCATTGCCTCCTAGGGGCGCCCTACAAACACATGCATTGCAGTAGTCAAGGTTTGGATAATGGGGATGGGATTTTGCGGGGGGTGTTAATCCCGAGCAGTGCAACAGCCATCTCCATGCTTGCTATTTGGCAAATCCACCTTGGTCCTGCAATGAGAAATTATATATATATATATATCCCTAATGAGAAGAATGGCTGGCTGGTTATTTCTCTCCTCCAACTGCTCGTTTCTGGAGATCTCAGTAGAGTAATTACACTTTGATGATTGTCTCCTTTCCAGAACGGGCTTCATAAATCCTCCGTAATCAGGGAGGCGTCATGGTGACAGGGTGGCCCAGCTTCCTGTTTATTGCTCACTCGGTCTCCGTCACTGCCATCCTGGCTCTGCCTGTCACCTCCGATCTTTTTTTCCGTCCTCCTCTTCCCTCACTGGCCACTGACCTCAACTCATAGTGAAGAGAAGGACCAGGGGAGACAGGATAGCAGACTTCCAACATTTGGGGGGCTGCCACAGAGAGGAGGGGGTCAAGCTATTTTCCAAGGCCGGACAAGGAATAATGGATGGAAACTGACCAAGGAGAGATTCAACCTAGAAATAGGGAGGAATTTTCTGACCGTGAGAACAATCAATCCATGGAACAGAAGTTGCCTTCGAAAGTTGTGTGGGCTTCATCCCTGGAGGCTTCCTAGAAGAGACTCGAGTGCCATCTGTCAAAAATGGTGTAGGGTCTCCTGCTTAGGCGGGGGGTTGGACTAGATGACCTACAAGGTCCCTTCCAATTCTGTTTTATCTATCTATCATTGGGACAGTGGTGAAATCCAATTTTTTTTACTACCGGTTCTGTGGGCATGGCTTGGTGGGCATGGCAGGGGGAGGTTACTGCAAAATCTCCATTCCCACCCCACTCCTGGGGGAAGGATACTGCAAAATCTCCATTTCCACCCTACTCTGGGGCCAGCCAGAGGTGGTATTTGCCGGTTCTCCGAACTACTGAAAATTTCTGCTACCGGTTCTCCAGAACCTGTCAGAACCTGCTGGATTTCACCCCTGCATTGGGAGCCTCACAAGAGCATTTGGTCAACTTCCGTTCAGGTGGATCTGGTCGGCTGGAAGAGAGCACTTTTTTTTTTTATTTGATTTATATGCCGCCCTTCTCCGGAGACTCAGGGCGGCTTACAAGGCGTTAAGCAATAGCCTTCATACTTTTGTATATTTTATACACGGTCAGCTTATTGCCCCCACAATCTGGGTCCTCAATTTACCTACCTTAGAAAGGATGGAAGGCTGAGTCAACCTTGAGCCTGGCGAGATTCGAACCTGCAGTAATTGCAGGCAGCTGATGTTAATAACAGTGCTTTAGTTTGCTGCGCTACCAGGGCTCTTTCTGATTGTTTTCCAGCCCACAAGAATATTGGAAGAAATTGTTTAACTTTGAATTTTGATGATTAGACTTGTTTGTAATGCTAGAAGGACTGTTTTATGATGGTTTATTGAAGCTCAAAGGGGTCATTGATTTTCAGCTTTTTATCCGTGTGGAAGAAAGTCAGAATTTACTTTTTTCGACATCTTTTCCCCTCTTTTGTCGGCGCTGCCCAGTTTTGCTTTGTCTGAGCCCCTCTTCCTTTTAAATTCTTTTTCTTTGGTATTCTACACCGTTTTGAAACTTTGAAATAAAGTTTTGAAAAAAAAAAAAGAATATGGGAAGGAATTCTGCCTCCCCACCCCCCGGGGTGAAATCCAACAGGTTCTGGAGAATCGGTAGTGGAAATTTTGAGTAGTTCGGAGAACCAGCAAATGCCACCTCTGGCTGGTCTAAGAGTGGAGTGGGAATGGAGACTTTGCAATGTCCTTCCCCCAGGAGTGGAGGGAATGGGGCTTTTGCAGTATCCTTCCCCTGGAGTGGGGTGGGTATGGAGAATTTGCAGTATCCTTCCCTTGCCACGCCCACCAAGCCACACCCACCAAGCCACACCACACCCACCAAGCTGGGCCCACAGAACCGGTAGTAAAAAAAATTGGATTTCACCATTGCTCCCACCCATCGGTGGGACCCAGCGCACAAATCTGCTGAAAGGATCGGGAGCATGGTAGAAAACCATCATAGCAATATTCTTCTGGCCTTGTTGAATTTCGGTTTGTGTCATGACTGAGACACAAAATGAAGGCACAACGCTTAAAGCAGATGTTTGCGGGTGACTTTAATCTTTTAAGGGAGGAACCAGGAAAAAGCCAAGCGGTAGGTGCTTGCAGGTGGTTCTTAAAAACCTCTTTTCTTACGGAGAGAGCCCATCAAAAGCCCTTCGCCCCGAGACATGGACCGTATTTCGTGGCCATCACTTCTCCAAGCCGCCCCGCCAAAGCTTTATAATCTGTTCATATTAGGGGATTATGCAGGAGGACGGTCTTATCAATTTTGTGCAAGGGTAGCCTAATGATTGCTCAGTACCGGTTTTCCAGCTTCCCAGATAATTTAATTAAAGGAGGCAAGATGGATGCCGCTGTAGTATTTTCTTCGTTGTATTGATAAGACGATTAAATAAATGTCTTACAAGATTACCGTAAAGCGGTTTCATTTCCATGGCCCGTCTTGCTTCTCTGCATAGCTGTAGTTAATTTGCTGGCAGAGTTTGTTCCAGGTGGACTGGTTATCCTTACAGTGCGCCGCTTCTTAAAGAATATTTATTTCTGGGGATTTGAGCTAACGTTCCCTGCTCTGTAAATTCCAGAAATCTGTTTGGAACTGGTAGGATTCAGGCTGGGTTGAAAGCTGACCATCATTGGATTTTAACTCCGGGTGTCTCAGCCTTGGCCGCTTGAAGAGGGGTGGACTTCAGCCCCCCCAAAATTCCCCAGCCATATTTAATTTAATTTAATTAAAGGTCAGTAAACGGAAAGACCTTGGCCTCGGCTCTTGGAAGGAAGTGATCAGGGCAAACCCATTTGAAACATCTCACCAAGCAAAATGCAGCGTCTCATCCAGACGGTTGTCGGGAGTCAACCCTGACTTCAAGGCATATTAAATTTTAATCCTGCTTGTATCTACAGGTAGTTCTTGACCTACAACACTTTGTTTAGCGACTGTTTGAAGTCACAGTGGCACAGAATAGAATAGAACAGAATTATAGAATAGAATAGAATAGAATAGAATAGAATAGAATAGAATAGAATAGAATAGAATAGAATAGA